TCAGTGGTAAGTACTACATTTGACAGGGATATGTCAGTCAGGAATATAATGAGTGTGGGATAGTCCTTGGTTTTCTGGTTCCTTAGAAAGAAGTTGACAGTCTGTATTTTTTTTTTTTAACTTAATGAGGTCTTTATTACCCACATAGTAAAAAACTCATTTGTGGGGCGCCTGGGTGGCTAATTCAGTTAAGTTTCTGACTTCAGCTCAGGTCATAATCTCTTGGTTCGTGAGCTTGAGCCCTGCATTGGGTAAGCTCAAGCCCCACTTGTCATTATCTCTCCCTCTCTTTCTGCACCTCATATGATTCTCTCTCAAAAATACATACATACATACATAGTTTATTTGTTTTAAGGATGCGATTAAATGATTTTTCATAGATTTACAGAATTGTGCAACCATCATACCTTCTACTTTAAGGCCTTCACATCCCCCCAAAAGAAGCCTGCAGCCCATTTATAGTTGTCATTCTCCATTCCCACCAGCAGCCCCAGGCAATCACTGTTGTAGCCTGGATCTTTCTCCTATAACAACTGGATACCGAACTGATGTCCACTCTGCCTTCATGAAGGATACTAAATCAGTACCAGAAATCAAGATATCTGTCCTCTACCCAAGCTATCTCTCCCAAAATTCAGAGGTTCAATTTTATCATTTAAATTAAAAAAGTTATTTTCCCAGATCCATTCCCTACATGCTGCCATCCTGCAAAGCCTGCCCATTTGCCTAACTTTACGTCTATCATCATAACTATACAGACCCAGTGGCAGTATAAAAACTTATTATAAAGCTCTGATCAGGACTCTTTTTGTGTTACTTTTGTTGAGAAAGTATGTCACAAAAATACACAATAATTTATTAGTAGGTTATAGATCTTCTTTTCAGTTCTCAAGAACTCATTAGTAAAAATATTCAGCAAATTTTGTGAGTGCTTCTGAAATAGAATCCCATGACTGATATGATGTCCTCGTTATCTGCAAGCATATTAGGACTTACCCATTTTATGTGGGAAGAGTTGTATATAAGCTGAGCTCTAAGATTGTTAATAAGGAAAAGCTAGGATGTCTTGATCTCTGAAGAAACTATAGGCATGACATAGCTAAAATGGATCTTGTTAACATAAAGTGATATATATTTAAATGGTAGTTTGTTAGTTAATGGCTATAGTTAAATGGTAGATCGAGGTAAGGAGACATACTTAATTGGCTCCTATTTTCCTCCTCTCACAAGAGGAGTGAATTATATATTAAAGTTTTCTCTAAGTTTATACAAAGTTTTGCAAAATTACAGAGATTTAAAAATGCCTCTGATGTTATCTAGAGGACTTTCCTATGTATTTATGTATATTTTCTTAAAAAAAAAAGAAAGCTTGAGCCTGGGTGCCTCAGTTGGTTAAGTGTCTAACTTTGGCTCAAGTCATGATCTTGAGGGTCGAGCCCCACTTCAGGCTGTCTGCTGTCAGCACAGAGCCAGCTTTGTCTCCTCTCTCTCTTTCTTCCCCTACTTCCCTTCCCAAAAATAAGTAGACATTAAAAAATGGTTTTAAAAAAAGCTCATAATTGTTATTTTTTTCCCTGACTATATTGTTGACCTCTTAACGTAATGGCACTAGAGGTGGTGGTGTGCTATTAAGAATACAGGCTCCTGACTCTCAACAATAGCCAAAACATGGAAAGAGCTTAAGTGTCCATCAACTGACGAACGGATCAAGAAGATGTGGTTTACTGGGGCGCCTGGGTGGCTTAGTCGGTTAAGCGTCCGACTTTCGCTTAGGTCATGATCTCGCGGTTCGTGAGTTCGAGCCCTGCATCGGGCTCTGGGCTGACTGCCAGCTCAGAGCCTGGAGCCTGTTTCAGTCTGTGACTCCCTCTCTCTCTGACCCTCCCCTGCTCACGCTGTCTCTCTCTCTCTCTCTCTCCTAGAAATAAATAAAACATTTAAAAAAAAAAAAAAAAGAAGATGTGGTTTATTTATACAATGGAATACTACATGGCGATGAGAAAGAATAAAATCTGGCCATGTGTAGCCACATGGATGGAACTTGAGGGTGTTATGCTGAGCGAAATAAGTCAGGCAGAGAAGGACAGATACCATATTTTTGCATGTATAGGAGGATTAGGAGGAACTTAACGGAAGACCATGGAGGAGAAGAAGGGGAAAAATAGTGGGGGAGAAGGAGGGAGGCAAACCATGAGAAACTCTTGAATGCCGAGAACAGAGGGCAGATGGGGGGGGAGGGGAAGGGGGGTGATGGGCGTGGAGGCACTTGTGGGGATGAGCACTGGGTGTTATATGGAAATGAACTTGACAATAAACTATTAAAAAAAAAATACGGGCTCCTGAGGTCAGATTCCTGGTTCTAATCTGGGCTCTGCTCTTTCTACCTCTCTGACCTTGAGCTTCTCACTTTACCTCAGTTTCTTTGAAATATTTCCTAGTGTTTTATGAGGACTAATTAGATAAGTATCATTCTCTGAGAACTATTTGTGGTTGTTTTCTCCTGCAGCGTGACTTTGTAATGGCCTTATGGTGACGACTGAGTTGTTTTGTTTTGTTTTTAAGTCTGAGAAAGCTTTTATGTCTGTTAAGAAACTTATCACGTGTTTCTTTCCATTGATTTTCCATTCATTAAAATTGTTTCAAGACCTAGTTTTTCCTAAGCCTTTAAGCTGAATGTATAAATTTTCTTTTATTCATAATTGTAACTTGCAGATGTTAAAAACACATTTTTTTTCATCAGTGTTTAACTTCTTTCTTCAATAGATGACCTCTTTCTAAACATTAAAACCCATTTTTAAACTTAGATAAATTTCCTTAATTTTTAAACTACATTTACACATTGACTATGTCTTATCTTCTTAACTATTGCAAATGCACAACCAGGCTGTCATAGGTCTCTAGTAAGCAGTGCATTTCTAAGCTGTGTGACAGAAGCTTGTGACTCTTCTCAATCTCCACTACAGGATGCCATCAGTGAGCCTCAGGTCGGGACTGCTAAGGAGATGCATGCATCATGAGTTTGACAACCGTACCTTTTCCGATAGCCTTGAGTATCTGTCACATGGCCCCTGTTGCCGTTTTTAAAAACCATAACCTCTGATGTGAATTACTGAAATTCTATATCTCCTATTCAAATCTAAGGTTGCATTTAATTGGATAACTGTATCCGTCTTATGTAATATTTATATACTTGTCTCGCACATTATAGTTACTATCTCAAAACAATATTTTATAATAGTATGATAATCGTAATTCATTTAACCCTCTGTTTTTGGATATTAGATTATTTTGAATTTTCTCTTATCAGTGACTGTTGAAAACATACTTCTAGGGTTCCAGGATGGCTTAGTTGGTTAAGCGTCCAACTCTTGATTTCGGTTCAGGTCATGATCTCATGGTTCATGGGACAGAGCCCCATGTTGGGCTCTGTGCTATTAGCATGGAACCTGCTTGGGGTTCTCTCTCTCCTTCTCTCTGCCCCTCCCCTGATAGAGCATGTACACATACACTGTCTCTAAATAAATATACTTAAAATAATACTTGTAGACATATTTGTGTACATTCTTATTTCCTTTGGATAAACTCAATAGAATAACTGGGTGCCATTACTCTAGTATTATGTAATATATAGCCTAATACCTACCAGTGTGAATCTTGGAATCATTTTTGTCAAATTACAGGGAAGATCCTATTGAGGTTAGTAAGGGGAAATAACTAATGTATGTATGAATATGGTAACATCAAACCCTTTATGGAATAGAGGTGATAGAAATAAAACAGAAGCTAAAAATGTGTTTTCTTGGGGTGCCTGGGTGGCTCAGTTGGTTAAGCATCCAATTCTTAATTTCAGCTCAGGTTATGATTTCATGGTTGTGAAATCAAGCCCTGCATTGGGCTCTGCGCTGGGTGTGGAGCCTGCTTAGGATTTCCTCTCCCCACTCTCACCGATTTGTCCCTCCCCTCCAATAATAATAATAATAAGTAATGTGTTCTTGTAATTTGACAAAGATTCTTAAGTTTATTTAGGGACGAAAAGAGGAATAACAGTGAAAGACTTTACTTTTACTGTTACTGGAACACACATTATATGACACTGGCATTGAAAGACTGTGTTTCTATATAGATAATTCTGTTTCCTTTATTGAATCCTTTTCCCCCTGAAACCAAGTGGATGTTAATTTGTATCAAATGCCTTTTTGACTTCACTCAAGATCATCTTTTCTGTTTACATAAGTTTGTGTTTTATCACAATCATTTCCTAATTTGAAACCTTACTTACACTTCTGGAATAAATCATACTTTGTCCTAAAAACAACCTAACAGAATATCAGTGTAAAAAGGTTCAGAGTTTTGCAGTTGCCTTCTAAAGGAAGATTAGTCTATAGAGGTCTTTAAGTTTTAAAATATTCTCTAGGTTAACTTCTGGTATTTTGCAATGTAAGGACTTGGAAAATTTTCCATCTGCCATGTGCCCTGGCATAGCACCCAAAACAAATGAACTTATGGGATTTCTGTCCATTGAGAGAAACTACTGTGGCATTTGTCACTTTCCCAGATATGTACTTGGTAGCAAAGGATCACCATAGACATGAATATGTTGTAGTCATCATCTTGGTGACATTGTGTTGCAAAATTGGTTGACCCAGAATGAATGTGTTTTGTATATTCAATCTTCTTAATGAAATCCCAAGGAAAGTCTCAATCCTGCTACTAATGACGATAAATGGGCTTTGCACTCACCAAGAGCTCTTACTCCCAGTAGTACAAAGCTCTTCTTGATTAATTATTTCAGTCATCCTCACAGTTGTCCCATGAGGTGAGTGGCTGAGTGCTTCCTCTTAGGCAAAAAACAAAACAAAACAAAACAAAACAGGTAACTAATTGGATTTTCTTCTGTTCTACATTCTGGGTTCTAGAACTAGATAGCTATCTTATAGAGACTGCCAGTACGTCCACCAGTGGACCTGGGTTTCAAAATCAAAAGCTTCTTTCACATTTGAACAGCAAGCTAGGAGCAGATGTGGAGTAGTAAAGTTGGAGAGAATTTTGATGAGTTGGGCAAGATGCTATGAGTGGATTAGCCTAGATCTGGTGAAAAGAGACAGGCAACGGCTGAGTTAGTGTCTTGGCACCTCCATTAGAAGTGGTAATCCAGTGTGTCAAAGGTTTGTTTTTGCAAATATTTTAAAGAGTCACCTCTTTGCTATTTGTACTTACTCTTCCCACAACATTGTGCTACCTAGGGTTCTTTCTACAAAGAATATCTGTCAATCCCGGCTTCCAGATGGGGGTGCTGGTCCTTTCTCATCCTGCGCTAATGTTTTAGTGGCTGGGGCTTTTCACAGGGACCATAGAAGCGTAAGATGTCTGCTTCTCAGTGATACCTCTTAGCCTGTGTCCATCGCCCAGTGACCATCCATTTTTCTCCGGGTCACTTTTCCTCATGCTGTCACTTCCCTGGAAATGGCCTTTCTGCAGACACATCTTGTCAGAGGAGCAGAGATACAACTAAAACTAGGTTTTTATCTAGTAGTCACCTCATCCTTCCTTTTGCAATATACCTTTCTGTCTTCCCCAGTAGTTTTTTGTCACTTGAGCTCTGTCTCTTCAGTTAGACTGTAAGCTCTTTGGATGAATGATCAGGTCAGGCATGTTTTTTTTTTTTTTACTAAACTCCCTTTAATTGCCTCCACGTCACGCTCTCAGCGCTGCGGTGTTCAGGTGCACAGTAAAGGCGTGTGGTTGATCTATTTGCTATCCATACTGTCCGCAAATATTGCCTGTACTTATTGACGGTGCCATTTTAACTTTTTTCCCTTTTTCTTTCATTAACCGAAGGTTTAGCTGTCCTACTTTGAGTTTTTCCTCCTCCCTGTTTTTTTTTTTTTTCCTAAAGTTCCCCTGAAAGGGAGGCCTTTAGAATGTGAAGAATTATGCCGACGTTGTGCAGTGTACTCAGGGTGGGGACTAATTATGAGGTTCAGAAACCTCTTCAGGTGGTTTCTGTGGCACGACTAAAATACCGCTTTCCTAAATTGAGAACAGCTGGGGCTGTGTTGCTAGCAAGTATAAGAAAGTCGGTGCTGGGGCTCTGTGCTGTGAAGAAGTCTTTGCTCTTTCAAGCTTGTGGAGCCTCAGCCAAAGGTACCCTCTCCCGCTCCGTGTCGCAGTGGTGAGTGCCTGGAGCTGGTCCCTGGGGTGACTGTTTCTATTCCGCAGTAGAAATTGTGCTGGCTGCTTCAAAATGTTGTTCCTTCCCAGTTTACTATGTCCGTTGTAGGATTTGACCTTTCTCGAGTAACAAATGGAGAATGTGTTCCCTGATTGGAAACGTACCTAAGGCTTTGTGTCTCTTTCCCCTGTATGATTCTGAAGGCTGTCAGCGTTCCTGACATGTGGTGTGTGTCTCTAAATACAAAAGGATAAACTGAGGCAGTGCTGTCTTACGTATCTTGAACGTGTAATTCTTGAATGTGTTCTGAGAAGTGGTCATTTAAGAAGACTCCAGTTTTTTAATGTGGAAATAAAAAGCTGAGTCTTTGACAAATGAAGAGAGTAACGATTATTCAATGCACGTAAGCAACTCATGACAGTTTTTTATTCTTCTGGGTTCATAGAAAAGCTGCAGTCTTAGGAAAGAATGATGTAGTCTCTGGAGAGGTTCTAACTGATTGTGAGTTCATGATTAGCAACATGTAATAGTGTCTCATGAAGTATTTGCCAGGTTGGGGCCTGACTTTTATTTAAAGAAATTTTAAAGGGACTTATTATTAAAATGTTCCTGTTAATACAGACATCAGCTCAAAAAAAGACTAGAATTCCAAGATAAAACGGCTCAGTATTTTACAAATAAACTCCATCTCAACAGCTTTCACCATGTTCTGACCATGTATTTATAAAGCAAATGGCTTTGGTGTTTGCTTCCTTATTTTGATAATGCTTTTGTTGTTTTGGATGGTTGACAATTGGACACGTACCGTTTCTGAACATAGTTTTGTTTTATTTTTACAGGTGGGTGAGTAGCAAGAGAAAATTGGCTTCCTTTCTTGAAGGTGGCGAGTGTATAACGGGTAGCTGCATGGAAGGAGCAGTAATCAGATGGCCACCTTCTTCGCTTTGTGCTAGGAAACAAAATCAGCTGTAAGAGTCCATGTGGATCTCGGAAATAGAGGGATTTGAAAAAGTTAACTTTGCACAAAGAACAAGAACTTTACCATCTCCTCTTTGATCTGAAGACTGGGGGACCATGGATATTATAGAGACAGCAAAACTCGAGGAACATATGGAAAACCAAACCAATGATCCTGCAAATACTTACACAAGACCTGCCGAACCTGTTGAAGAAGAAAACAAAAATGGCAACAGTAAGCCTAAGAGCTTATCCAATGGGTTGCGAAAGGGAGCCAAAAAGTACCCGGACTATATCCAAATTGCTATGCCCAACGAATCAAGGAACAAATTTCCCCTGGAGTGGTGGAAAACAGGGATCGCCTTTGTCTATGCTCTTTTCAACCTCGTCTTAACAACCGTCATGATCACAGTTGTGCACGAAAGGGTGCCTCCCAAGGAGCTCAGCCCTCCACTACCAGACAAGTTTTTTGATTACATTGATCGGGTAAAATGGGCATTTTCTGTATCAGAAATAAATGGGATTATATTAGTTGGATTATGGATCACTCAGTGGCTGTTTCTGAGATACAAGTAAGTAGGTCTAATAATTTGGGGGGGGGGTGTCATAAGTTTGTATTTAAGGGAGTAGATGTGTAATTGAAATCGTCTTCCTCAGTTTTGTCTGGTAAATTCAGTCTAGCCAGGCATTTGATAACAGGAAGCCATGGAAAGATCTACCTCATTGAATAAGTAAGCATGTGTTGAGCAACTGTGTATCAAAGGGGCAACTATGAGGACACTACAGGTACACTGTGGTCGGTGATTCAGAGTTGAATTTAAGGTGCGGTTCCTGATTTCAAGCAACTTGGCACTGTGTTATCTGCATGATAAATCAAGAGGCTTGGAAAGGAATGGCATTCACTTCATCATGCTTTTGTTATTTTAGGCTTTTAACAGGTGGGGAATGGAGTAGCCTGGGAAGTGTTTTTCTCTTATTACTCATAATGTGATGACTATATTGGTCTGTAGTCAGTAGCATTATTTGAGGTTTGGTTCTATTCAGAAGTTCTCAAATTTTATATTTCCTTTTCTTTTGCCTATTGGCAACCCAGTCACAAGAGTTTAAGAAATTTAATTTAGACGTGGGTCCGTGCAGTTTGGGCTTTCGACTTTGAAAGTAAACACATTGTCCAGCTTCCCCCATGGCGCCTCAAAGGAGCTCTTAGTTTACTGGTTTCAGTACTTTACTTGTTTTGAAACAGGAGCAATCAGGAAGTAGGAAGCCAGGTACTTTTGCTTTAAAGACACTTAAAAATAGGACATAGCTCTGAAGTGGTTATTTTTTCTTCCCTGTGAAATCTCACTGTTAGTCCATGAAAACAAGTCCCCTCAATTTCACCCCCTTTTTCACCTCATTAATCAGTCAGATATTTGCTCTCTACTAAGATTCTAGCAATTAAATAACTAAAATAAAAGTTTGATTAAAGCATTGCCCATAAACTGAGGCTTTTGAAAATGTAATATATACTTAGTCTATACATGCTGTTCAAAAATTCACAAATAGGATTTTCACATTAATACCAAAAGATCAGTTTAAAAAATTTTATGTTTTTTTATTTTATTTTTGAGAGACAGAGAGAGACAGCACGCAAGTGGGAAAGGGTAAGAGAGAGGTAGACACAGACTCCTAAGCAGGCTCCAGGCTCTGAGCTGTTGGCACAGAGCCTGACATGGGACCTGAACTCATGGATAGTGAGATCATGACCTGAGCTAAAGTCAGATGCTTAACTGACTGAGGCACCCAGGTGCCCCACAAGATCATTTTTAGAAGAGAGAATTTATGTTATATTGTTCTTGCGATTGGTTATCGCTTTGAAAATAGAAGAATTCAGTCTCTCTTTGCTGAAGAGTTCCCCAAATTCAGGTTTGCAGTTTTGAAAACTTATGCCACAAACCAAAGTCATTCCTAAACATTTTTTTTAGTATGTGTAAGTAAAAGACAGCTATCAACTGTCTTTTACCAGAACTTTTCGATGCCAGAGTTGTTAGTTATGGTATGCTTTATGCCAAAAGCAAACAGTACATTTGTTGAACTTTAGTGTTTCTCTGTTTAGTTTCTACAGTTGACACTCAAAATAAGACAGCCTGCATAGACCAAAGGTGTTTGCTTTCTCCTTTAATTTAGACCAATGTTTTATTCGTATATATGTGAAAAGAGACATTTTCCAGGGTCTGGCAAGTAGCTGGCTTCCATCTAGAGACACAGTCTCGATTTATTTGAATCTTCATCTAAAGAGTTGTTATAAACTGCCTCTCCATGACCACCTGAGATTTTTACCATGCCATAGCTGACCACAAATTTTAATGGCACCTACTGTTTTGGTCACAACTCATCATCAGAAATTTGTTGGGGAAATCATACGAATTTTCTTTCATTTTTGAGGTAGAATTATGTATTTTAGTAACTAGGAGAATGATTTTTATAACCTGTTTTGAACATCCTGGCTGAATGGGAAATCCTACTTGCTCTCTCTTGCTAAAGCACCTTCAAAGACGTGGGAAAAAAACATTAGCTGTAGTTATTTTTCTAAATAAGGTTGCAGAGTGCACATTTTACCTTCTAAGTTAATTTTCAGTTCTGAGGACAGCTGAACTCAGAATGCTGGAATGAATATAATTAACTCGTAATAATTCCTGCTTATTACTACACCTTGTCTAATAGCAGGGAGCACACAGTTCAACACTTTTTGGGTCTGAGCTAGAAGCAAAGGATGAATGGTTTTTCACTTAACCAAATGGAGAGACTCAGCACTGTCTGTCGCCCATTCCTTTTCAGTACTAAAAAAGGCATAGTTAATATAGCAAACCTTTGAAATAAATGGCCTTGCACTAAATAAATACTTTTCTCTAATAGTCTAGGTAGTTTTCTTCTCTATATTTTGAGCCCAGAAACCTTGGAATGTTCTTAAAATAGCTACTGGAAACCGGCAACTAAAATTACATTTGTACATAATTATGTAAATTAGAGGTCCCGATGGTTATCTGAATTAGACCTTGATCCAAATCAGGTGAGAGTCTTGAAGACCACTAAAAATATGCCACCTGCCTGAAACTGCCTATTTTTCCAGAAGTCTTTGATCAGTACTACTTTTGAAAGTTTGAGAGCTCTGAAAATGATGGACCTGGAGTAATACAGTTTAGGTGCTAGAGAAGTTTCAAGTAGCATTTCTAGGGCCTTTATGGACCCTATCCATCTCTGAATCCCAGAGTTTATAGACCCACCCCTAACTGCATAAAATGACAGCATAAAATAAGTTGTCATCTTCAACTGGACATACGGACACTCAGAACCCTTGAAGCCCACTCAGATACCCATGAGGCAGTGCTGCAAACAGGCAGACCCTTTCCCTGAGGAGGACAGTGTGTTAAGAGCCAACTACTGGGAACCCCCGCGTTGGAGTGAGGACTTCGTGGTAACAGGACAGAGACTAATGTCAGTCAAGGCAACTGTCTCCACCAAAAAATATAAAGTGTAAAAGGACTTGCGGGATTTATTTTTATTAATTAATTAATTTTTTTTTTTTTTTTTTGCTTTTTTGGATCAAGGTTGAATAAAACAAGGGTAAACTGCTCAGTTTACAGCCTCACTGTTAAATGTCCATAAATCCAGAAGGGTACTTTGGACAGTTTCAAACTATAATTCTCTGAAAATCTATGTTAAGTTATAGACAAAATAGTTCATGCTCAAGTTGTGAAAATCCTTTTGGATGGTCTCCAAATAAAACTTGCTTATATAACTTAGGTTAAATTAGTTGTCCCATTTCCCTATGTGTCCAATTATATAGTATCACCTTGGCTCATTAGTTAATTCCTCTGTGTCTGTGGCTCGTTTGTGCCTTTGATATGTTCTCAAGAGAAGGTTTTATTAATGCCGTGAGTTGACTGAAAACGTAGAGCAGTTCATTGAATTCTTTGGCACAAAGAGTGACTTTTTTAGGAGAGGTGTTGTCTAGAACCCTGAGTCAACCAACTTTAACTCACCCGCTCCCCAAGGACACTCCTTTTGGGTACCAACCCGCTGAGATTTATCACAGTATGTGAACCTTTGTTTCTGAAAGCTGCAGTATGGCTTCTCCATGGTTTCGTAGGGGTGAGCAGTTCACAAATAAGCCTTTGAGCTGTGAAACTGTGGTCTGTTAATGCCACTCTGTATTTTTCTTTATTCTGTTAAACATTGTTTGATAATGCATTATGGTCAGAAACAACGAGTAAACTTGTTTTTCCACATCCCTGTTTTCCCTTTAGGTCAATAGTGGGGCGCAGATTCTTTTTTATCATTGGAACTTTATACCTGTATCGCTGTATCACAATGTATGTTACTACTCTCCCTGTGCCTGGAATGCACTTCCAGTGTGCCCCAAAGGTAAGCGCCTCTGAATTACCATATAGAGGAGATGAAGAAAACTGTTATTGAACACCTGCTCCCTATTGACATGCTCTTCAGACACTCTGATATGTGTTAACTGCAATCTGGTATATTTTTTGTTTCTCTTTAGACCTGGGGGGAAGAAATTTAAATTGTTCTTAAAATGTGTGTCTTTGTGCATTAGAAGTTCATTTTCTGCTAACTAAAGTTACAGTGGGGTGGTCAACTCTGTTTTTTTACACTCTTATTTACACATTCATTCATTCATTCATTCTTCAAGTATTAAGCTCCTGTTATGTACCAGGCCGGCATTATAGTACCAGCAGTGATCAAAACAAAGTTGTTCTTCTAAAGCTTATATTCTATTGGGGGATGACAACTGAGAAATAAATGCCTAACTCCTCACATGATGATATGTCAGGTTGCTATCAGATGAAAAACAGAAAAGCTGAGTAAGGGTGAGAGCGATGCTGAGGATAGGTACTACTTTATAGAGAGATCAGAAAGGCTTATGTAGTAAGAAAGCATTTGGACAGGAAACAAGATAAGGAAGTGAGCCATGTGGATGGGGGGAGCCCCAGGCCAAGGAAATAGCTTAGTCACAGTAGATTCAAAAGGTGGCAGGAGACCCCTGTGGCTGAGTAGAAGTGGGAAGGGTGGAGGTGGTATAGGCCATGGGTTCCCTAGGCCCTTCGTGGCCGACTGAACATGAACTTTAGTGGTGGTGGTAGAGGCAAGGAGAAGTCATTCAATTCAAGATGTATTTTGAAGGTAAGGCCAACAGGACGTGCTAATAAGTTGGATATGGACATAAGAGAAAGAAATCAAGGATGACCCCAAAGTTTTCAGCACTTGGAAAGCTACAGTGGCCTTTTGCTGGGATACATTGTGGGAATGACTACTGAAACTGACTACTAAAGCAGGATTTAACAGTCTCTCCAGGTAGAGTCACTTCTTGAGAGAGCTGTTAATCATCTTAGACCCCAGAATGCCCTGGTTTATAAAAAAAGAAACGTGCAAACCATGTGCTTTCTGGACAAGGGAATGAAGTCTAACATCATATTTTACTGAACACTAAGCAGATGTCCAAGGTGGAAGGAAAAATAGAGTTGTTCTAAGTCAACAGTCTCCCTCACCAAATATAGGTGTGGTTTGGAGAAGCTATAATTTTCCAAAGCCATCAAAGCAGAAAGTATCTGTAATTAAAACAGTGTACATATTGAATTCAAACATTGGCTGATTTTTAGCGAAACTAATTTAAGGCCTGGGAGAAGTTGAGAAACGTAGGAAACACTCCTAAGGGGTTATTGGTATGTGTTAAATGAATAAATGGGCACAGAAAAAAAGGCAAGCCCATCCTGGTAATGGGTGAGGTTTGCTGAGATGAATTGCTATGATTATAGAAAGAAAGTAAATTAAAGATTATCCTCCCTGGAAGAGTTGCAATTTTGAGAAGCCACATCAGTAAACATACCACTGGATCGCCAAGCTACAAATACTCCCAAGGGAAGCTTTGGTGGCAGCCTAAGTAAACAGCCCCCATGTTCATTTGTCAAGACCTCTTTCTGAAGCCTAAGCAGTCTGTAGGTACCTGAATAATGGTCCAGTAAAACAAACACAAATCATTTTGACTAGAGGTGATAGGGTGTTATGGAACAAGAGTGAGAATTGCATTCTAAATGTGGTTCAGCCACTGGCTTTGAGTGCTCCTTAGATTTTTGTGGTCACAAGGCTATTAGGTAACTTACCTGCCTCTTCTGTTGCTGAGTCTACAGAATGCCCTTCGTGGCTATGAGCAATGACAGAACTACATATACGAAACCACTCTCTGTGAGATGGTATCAAATCTAGTCCTCAGTGCCGAATACAACCTGTTACTCACTAGATGCAATCACCACAAGTGATTTCACAAGATTGGTGAAATCCTTGGCTTTTCGGTTTCCCAGTTGCCTTCTCCCTTATCTGTCCTGGGCTTCGCTTTAAGTCTTTTGCTTACAATTTGCTTTACTAAAGCCTCAACACAGGCTTTAGTTTGCAGTCATAAAATGTGTGTTCTGAGAAGTGTGTTTAAATCAATTTGGGCCCAGTTATTAAGATGTGCATGAAATTATTTAGCCTTTCAAACCCATTTTGTCACATACAAGCCCAAAATGCTGGGCTGAGATAGCTGTAGTCTGTTCCCTGAGAAAGCTTTCTGCACACCCTGGCCATAGATGTGCAGAGGAGTTTTCTTCTGAACTGAAGGGACAGTCTACAGGGTAAGTTCTGGTTTGGCAGCAATGAAGTTGGGGTGTCTTATACTTTTTTTTTTTTTTTTTTGATGGGCTGTGACATGCAGAGGTGACAGTTCATGGAACCTTTAGAACACTGAGCCTCTGTCTGCCTTGGCTCTTGTGATTAATGCTTCTCCTCTTAGCAGTCTGCATCTTCCGTTCCATATCCAGTCATGGCATAGAATAGTGTCTGAAAAATCAGGAAATTAATAAGAACTCATAAGTGGTGTGCTCATAAGCCCATAGGTGGTGAGCGATGGGGGTCCCAGTGAACCAGAACAAAATTAGAAAAATAAATCCATTAATCGCAACTCTCACCATTGTTTTCTACCTTCCCTTTCTACCTCCCTCCCCTGCTCTTTTTACCACCCCTTTCTCGAGCATGAACTAACAGCTAGGATAGCAGTGACAGGATCGAGGAATTAAGAACTGAGAAAAGACAGAGCAAGGAGAGAGAGTGCTTTCTCTGTTTTGTATTCTGTAAAGGCATAATGAACCCAGTGCTATCAGAAATCTCCATTCACCCTTGCCATTGAAAGGAAGAGGGGAGAAAAGAATGTGTGGTGATAGTTTACCTCCTAGTTTGCTTATACCTTTGGGTCCATCTAATCCCGGGTAAAGAGACTGATGGCATTAAGTGTTTCTCCCCTTAGAAAATTAAAGAGTATTGAGTTGGGATGGGTGAGCGGATAAAAATATATAAGGGTTTTGAAATGAAGAGTCATGTGTCCTTTTAAACTGGAAACACAACAGTTGGGCAGTGTATGTACTTTTTTATTTGATCTCCCTGTTGACAGTTGTTTGTCCCAACCATGTGACAAGAAATTCCTGAAGGACTATGGTTGATCTGATAAAGCACGAGGCTAGGTTCTGTCTTGCACATGAAGGGCGTATCCATAATTTTATGTAGTTTACAGCACACATTTCCTGAGGTGACCCTGAAATGAGTCCTGTAGTTCTGTCCACAGTACTTCTCTTCCTCAAATATGGATCCTTTACAGCCTTCTAGATCCTGTCTTTTCAAGGCAGGATCACCTGCTACATTTTTTTATGTTTGTTTATTTTGAGAGAGAGAGAGAGAGAGAGAAGGCGAGCATGAATGGGGAAGGGGCAGAGAGGGTCAGACATTGAATCCCAAGTAGGCTCTGTGCTGTCAGCACAGAGCCCAACGTAGGACTCATACTCACAAACCGTGAGATCATGACCTGAGCTGAAATCAGGAGTGGGATGCTTAGAAGATTGTTTCTCACCTTCCCCTCTAATCATGGTTTATGTCATTTTCTGTTACAGAGCTTTATTCTCAATTAGAAACCAACAACCATGGTGTGTTTATCTTTTAATGTGGGTTGTCTGAATACCAGAAAGCTTTCCAGATCCATGAATTTTTTTTTTTATCAGGAAATGTTTAGGCTCCCAAGTTTTGGGCAAGGAATCTTGCCCCAATTCCGACTCTACTGGATAAGATGGTTTTCTACTTGCTTTAGAGGCTAATTGAATTTCTCTCCTCCCACACTCTGCTCCCATCCATCTGTACACACCTACCCAACCGTCACCCCCATGCATCCACTTGGGCAGGGTGCTACCTATCTTTACCACCAGTGTAACCACCATCAAGCCTGGACTGGCCATGCTTCAGGGATCATGACTGAGTATAAAAGACAGCATGTCATAAAACAACTGTCTTCCCAGAGTCTCAGATGAATAGTCATTAGTGGTCTTTCTATATTTCTCTTCTCCTGTGTACTATTACCTGAATGTTTTTCTGAATATTATTCTTTGATTTTCTAAGCCTCTTCAGCTGATGCTAGACTAATGTGAAACCCTGGCCCCCAAGCATTTCAGTTTTCCAATTTTCCATGCCTACTATTTTGACTAACTCAGCCCACTACTCCTTCCCATATACTAAAGTTTTAATGGGATATACACTTTTGACTACTGAGTCAAACTCCTGTCCTGGCCCATCATTGTTTCCCATGTCATCATGGTGGCTTCTGCACCATTGTTCTCGGGAGCTCTCTTCTGACCCTCTATGATAACATAACATGCAGATTATTTCTGTGGAGGATGTTTTTCCTGATCAAAGCTACTCATTTTTGAAGCTGCCAATACATCTCTAATCCATCATTTTCAAACCTGTTTATTTAATGTGTCACAGCTCCCCTTTTTAACTGTGAAAAGTTTTGATCAGATATTAATACAACTATTTGCACACTTTCTGCTGCCCACTTAACACAAGGTCTTAATACACTTTAGAATATTAGTAATGTGGTATTCAGCTGAATCAAATATTAACCATCTGAAACCCTGACTTCCCCCTACAAAGAGGACAGAAAGTAGCTTTGATTTTTTTTTTAGTGTATAGCTGTGGTGAAGTCATTGGTTATTAATATTTTTAAAAGCTTTGCCCAAGGACACACTACCACCAAAACATATTATTAGTAACATATTGAATAATTTAAAACATGTCACTAAAACTCGCCAATAAATGAATAAAACCTAGTTTGAGGAGCTACCGCCTTGGGTTCTTTTTGACTTTTTAAGTTAAAAAGAAAAAACACCACCTGGTGACCTTTTTTTTTTTTTTTTGCTGTTTTGTTGTGTTTTCACCTTTCTAAGTATCCTACAAATTAGGCTGAAACGTGATTTTATCAGCTTGTAAATTTTCTTTCTGATCTTGTGTCATTCAGCTCAATGGAGACTCTCAGGCAAAAGTACAACGGATTCTACGGTTGATTTCTGGTGGTGGATTGTCCATAACTGGGTCCCATATCTTGTGTGGAGACTTCCTCTTCAGTGGTCACACCGTTGTGCTGACACTTACTTATTTGTTCATCAAAGAATGTGAGTACCAATTCATTCCCACTCTGTTGGCTGCTGTAGTGGGAGGGATCCCTGGGACCTCTTACCCCATTGGGATTGATAACTATGGAAGGTACAGGTGTGCGAGTGTGTGAGAGTGTGTGTGTCTGAGTGTATTTAATTCATTTCAGCTAGTCCTATGCGATTTGAACACAGGAGGTGATTTGGCCCTGGATTCTCTAACATTTAAAGTGCCTCCAGAATGTCTCAATCCTTCATTAGAACTTCCCAAGGTACGAGAAGCTACTTTAGTGTTGGAGAACAGGTGTTAAGTTTATTACAAACAGAATCTGTGCACTGGAAAGCTGAATTGTAAATGACTAATGAGTGTGAAATGCCCCTTGTGTGAAACTTACATTCTATCATTGCAGATAATTTAATGTTTGCCCCTTTTTTTTACATGTTGTCCCATTTCAGTTTCATCATTTTCCAGCCGACTTCTGTGGTTTAACAGGCGTCTTCGAAAAACATTTTGCCAATATTGATCATTTCTACCTACAGAACAACATGGAAGCAAGAATGTACAGTGTCTTTCCACATTTGTACACTGAATTGCCATTATACAAAATCCTTGTGCAGCCCGGCAGCTTTCATGCCTGGCACGGTGCCTCGTTCATCGTGGGGGCTGTATTTGAGGTTAGCTGCCTAGCAGATCCCATCGTTGTAGATTTCTGAGGTTGGACTTCTCTAAGCCCATCATCCCAAAGTCCTTTCAGAGTAGGTGATACCTTTTCCTTCGTTTTTGCAGAGCTGGTCAGGTTAACTTTCCCCTTTAGTTCCAAGATACTCCATATTTTTATTTAGAGCTTTATCTTAACTTCCTTCACTTCCTCAGCAAAGTAAAGAGGGCTTTTGGCAAAGACCAACCGATGGTCACCTGCCCTTCTGTTGTCTTGCTGCTTCTCCCCCTCTCTTGGCCTATCATTAATCCAAACAGGGTTAACCTCACTTCATGGCAGTATGGACATCAGAGTTTATCAGTCAGTGACACATTAGTGAGTTCTCGTCCCATAGGCTGCCTGGGGTTTCAGGTTCCGTTCCACTTTGAGGGCTTTTAGGACAAAGGCTTGAGATTCTATGCAGGAGAGGAAGTCTTTTTTTTTTTTTTTTGGTTAAGAAATGTGTAGTTTGAGTTGTTTCCTTTGTAAATGCTACACACACACACTTAGAGTGGGGAAAGTAGTATGTTTGATGCACAACCTTTATCATGCCTGACATTAAGCTGGCGGCTGTTCTGGACATTTTCCCTTATTTCTGTCCTCACATTTCTACCGGAAGTGGTAATGGCAAGGAATCCAAGTCTGTTTCTGCACCAATGTCGGGGGTTGTCTCTTCCTTCAATGTGCATCATTGCATTTCTCATACCTAGTGATTGGTTCTGATGAACCCATAGAGTGATCTGTGTTGTTGATGGCTCTAACTAACTTTTGCTGCAAAAAGTTCCACCAGTGTGTAAGATCAATTCTTTTCCAGTCCCGAGGTGCACTTGTGTTATAGGAGTTTCTCTCTAATCTGAGAATCATAGGAAACGTAGAGAAGAAGATAGGGGGTAAGGAGGAGCTGCATGTTGGAACGAAGCCATGGTGAATTACAAGTAATGACGAGAAACACCCCAGGAAACTGAATGTCAATTTTAGAAAATAACCGAAGACCAAGGGATGCTAACAATAATAGCAAATAGACATTATACCCTTTGATATTATAGACATTATAGACATTATAAGTCTTTGATGCAAAATAACTCATTTAATCCTGCAGCCACCCCATGAAAGAAGCACTATTTTCCCTATTTTTCCGAGAGGACACTTAGAGAGAGAGTGACTTCCCACGGTCCACAGCTGGTAATTGGAGGATGGGGTATTCAAACTCAAGCAGGCTGACCTCAGAGGTTATGCTATTAATTTCTTAGCTCTGTTTAGAATATTTGGGAACCCAACTTGTCTGCTCTTACAAAACTGTCAAAGAACAGTCTGGATATGTGGTTCATTATTGTTCTTTTACTTCACGGCAACTTGTGGTTATTTCTATGAAGGCTCTACAGTATGTAGAGATATTTTCTTCCCACAACATGATTTTGGCTTGAGGTTTTAAAAACTGTGTGGGTTTACATACAGCAGTGAAAGAATTACATTCTGACTTTTCTACTTGTTGGTAAGGAATGAAATGGCAAATCTGTAAGGCCGAATACAAACCCAACTCTAGCATCAGTTCTGTACACAAGCAGGGCGTTCCACGTGTGTGCCCTTTGCTTATGCAGTTAGGAGAAGCAACCACCTTCTAAATTGTGCCACGTGTTCTTGTTCTGAGTAAGCAGGGGCTCCAAATGGTTTCTTTGAGCAGGCTGCTTCTAGAATCAGATGCATCATTTGTATGTTTTTTGTTTTCCTGCCTTTTGATCTGTTTGGTCTCTTTCCTTGTTTGCTCAGTTGTCATGAACAGATTTTAATTTAGTCAAGAGAACAGATGAAAACTTGGGACCAGGACCATTGTGTGGGCTTTACACAGCGGGGGAGCTTTATACAGTTGTGCAAATATTCTCAGGCCTGTGTTCCTTATAAAATCAGCCTAAAGAAATCAGCCTAGCTGTTAGTGCCAAGCGCCTTGCTAGTAGAGAGGGAAAAACTCCCTCCCTCCCTTCCTCCCTCCTTTCCTCCTTCTTCCCTTCCTTCCTCCCTCTCTCCCTCCCTCCCTTCTGTCTTTCCTTCCTTCCTAGGATGCTACCACACAAAGTCCACTGTCTGTATGATTCAATGTCTGTAGAGCTAAGATCCTACACAGGCAGTGGTGTGAATTAATATTTGTGTTCTCCTCTTTCAGCCTGATATTATTTATTCCTATGGTAGAATGGGAAAGCAGAAAAAGTTACTATTTTCCCATTTCTATTTCAAAATAGTTTATATTAAATCTTTTCTTTGGCTCAGCTAGGATTCCCAGTGAGCGAGCTATGGTCCCAACATGGTAGCCTAATTGGGACTACATTTTTATGGAAGAGCAGTGTTAGTATTATTTCCAGCCATTCCTAAAACTTCATTTTCAATTCCACAAGTACTAAATGACCACTCGGCCTACCTCTTTACTCCTTGTGTATTTCAGCTTTGCTTCTTGTAGATAAACAAATACGGAATAGTTCTGGTTTGCCCAAACATTTTTAACTTCTAAGGTAATAAATATCAGATGAGCTTATAAGCAGAGGAAACTGAGCTTCTATGAGGCTTCAGAGAAGGGTGGAGTCTGTGGTTCTGCAGGATATTTCATGAAATCTCCAGATTTCTAAGTGTTGGTTCAATTTTTAGTAGGCACCGCCTAACAGAATTTACAGGGCCTAGATCTGGCCACCCAGGCTGTAAAGGGTAAGGCCTCTTCCAGCTTTAAAATTCTAGGCGTCTATCCATTATCTGCTAGAACTCTGTGTCAGGGGGAACCAACTGAGAAGCAGTAAGGAGGGCATTCAAAACTTCAACAGCAGACTTTCAAATGCAAACAGGTTGGGGCGTCTGGGTGGCTTAGTTGGTTAAGCTTCCGACTTTCGACTTTCGCTTAGGTCATGATCTCACGGTTCGTGGGTTCGAGCCCCGCGTTGGGCTCTGTGCTGACTGCCAGCTCAGAGCCTGGAGCCTATTTCGGAGTCTGTGTCTCCCTCTCTCTCTGACCCTCTCCTGCTCACGCTGTCTCTCTCTCTCTCTCCTAGAAATAAATAAAAATACTAAAAAAAAAAAACAAAAAACAAATGCAAACAGGTTTATAAACTTAGTGTTCTACCTGAAACCAAAAGAGCAACAGCTATTTCACCAAAAATACTCTTCATCTGAATGATACCTGGTTTGGTATTTCATCTGGATTTCTGGAAACGGACCCTTTTGCTGTTCTACCGCTGTCCTGCATTTAGAAATAAATATCGCTATGAACATAAACACAGTTAAATATGAAATAAATGTGTTAGATTATTAACTTTGTGAGCTAAGAAGGCTTTAAAATAGGAAAACAAAAAAAGAAGCAGCTATTAAAAAAAAAGAAAAGGGAAAGTTATTAGAGATCAACCGGAGGTTGCTCCTGTGTCCTCACCACTTGTGTGGGCGGGCCGTGGGCCGTATGACCACGTCTCACCTGAGGGGTGCTCTGGCTCTCTCATCTAGCTGATCAGTATAATGGCCTTGTTAGTGGACTCTCTAGGAAGGTTAAAATCCACAAGTGAATGAGCCAGAACCCTAAGCTTTATGTCGGGAGTGTTTCATAGTTGCCATTAGCAATGACAGTATGAAATTGCTGAGAAGCAAAATACTGCTGGCCACAATGCCATTTTTCTCCCCCTGGAGAAATCAAAGTACGTTTATGTAAGACCTGACATTACTCCTACTTTCTAATTTTTCCTTACATTTTCATTGACAACTACCCTTTCTTTTGACTGCTTTTCTTTCCAGTGGGACTCCTTCTGTGAGCCAGTATGAGGCAATTCCAACCAACCTGATAAACAATTCTGTTCTCTTCCTTATTGAACAGCTTAGCAGCCGGTATTTCAGGTCTAGAATACCCAGGGAGTGACAGTTCCCTGATGTTTGAGTAAGAGACCTGCTCCCGGCGGTCCCCTTCCTTCTCTCTTCGCATCTGAGCAAATCCCGGGCTGTTCACAGTGACTCGTTTTGGATTAATCAGTTTTCTACTTCCAGTGACTTCCTGACCTTGGATTATTCTACTTAACATCATTAGCGTAGACTGTAATCATTAAATCCATCTCTGGGAATCTTATTAACTCTCGACTTCTCCTGCCATCTAGATTCGCCTCGTCACTTCTGGTGGTATCATTTAATCTGCTGGCTGCTGAGTGCCGCCGGGATCATCTGCATTCTTGTAGCACATGAACACTATACTGTCGATGTGATCATTGCTTATTATATTACAACACGGCTGTTTTGGTGGTACCATTCAATGGCCAATGAAAAGGTGAGAGCAGTCAAATTACTCCAGGATAATCTTCTTTTCTTTAAATGCACTGGCCCCCTTTTCAGGCCATGGGGGTTCAGATAGCTTAGTGGGAATAGCCACCATCGCCACCCACGTGTGTGGCCTGGGTCAGTTCACTGAAACGTATACCCATTACTGCTTCTTAAATGATGTCACCAATATAAATGACATTTAAGGATAAACGTGCTGTATAATTATAGCGCATGGTGTTTTACTAATTCAACTCATTGACCCCAGAATTGAAGAAGTGTAAATGCTAAATTAAAATTCAGGAGCCTTCTCTGTAGAAACATCATAGGGCAGCAAGGTAAGACATGCTCCCTGCCCTCAAAGAACTGAAATTTTGAGGAAAAGACAAACTATTTTAAAAAGTCAGGCAAAATAAGCAGTCCATGAATTCCTGGATTTGGTCCATCTTTTGGTGCTACGGTGCTCTCTGGCTTCCCTTCTCTTCCTTTCCTTATTTCTTGCTGGTGCCTTCCATTCCCAGATGACCTATTTTTCTTCCCCCGTTCACATTGGAAGAGCTAGCTCAAATGCCACATCTTCTAGGAAGTCTTCCTAACCCCTGTTCCTGTCATCCCAAAATGGGAAGACTCCTCCCCTTCTCTGTGTTTTCCTAGTCTAGGTGTGTGAGCTTGATGTAAGAGAGTGAGTCTGCAGGGGCATATGTGTGGCTCAGTCGGTTAAGCGTCCTACTTTGGCTCAGGTCATGATCTCACAGTTTGTGGGTTCGAGCCCCGCATCAGGCTGTGTGCTAATAGCTCAGAGACTGGAGCCTGCTTCAGATTCTGTGTCTCCCTCTCTCTGCCCACCCTCCCCACCCCACCCCGTTGGCGCCACCAATGCTCACACACTCTCTCAAAAATAAATAAAACATTAAAAAAATTTTTTTAAATAGGATGAGTCTGTATAGCATAACTTAACTTTGCACAGTCTTGCCATATTGTCCAATGCATATAATTTGTGAGCGGTTGAAATATGCCGTCCCCAAAGGGTCTAAATCCAATTCTCATTTAGCGGTATCCACTGATAGATGCCTTTTGGGGGTTATTTTGTCTCTATCTACTTCCCATTTTATAGACTTCCTTATACTTCCATCTGAATGTCTACTGACACCACCACACCAAAACTGTCACCTTTCCCCTTCAATGTGTTCCACCCTGTGAGCTTGCCCTACACTCTTCCATCTTTCTCGAGCCTGCATCCACCTGCTCACACACGTCCTCAGACCTGTTCCTCCTGGCTAACTCTCGTATCCACTCCTGAGCCTGCACTCTTACTGGGATTGCAGGCAGAAGAATTTGCATGAGCTGGAGAAGGGGGGGGAGGGGGCTGAGGCCAGAAACATGTCAGAATCAGGGAAAAGGCACAAAGACAATTACTGCCTTGTGATCCTGATTCTGCTGCTTTCTCTGTTATGGTACAATGAATGACAATTTAATTAAGAAAAAAATTGGATGCAAATCATGAAAAAATAGGTCTCATTTTCCTTTTTTTTTTTTTTTTTAACTTTTTACAGAACTTGAAGGTCTCTTCACAGACTAATTTCTTGTCTCGAGCATGGTGGTTCCCCATCTTTTATTTTTTTGAGAAAAACGTACAAGGCTCGATTCCTTGCTGCTTCTCCTGGCCACTCTCCTGGCCCCCTGGCTGCTTTAAATCTTCATGCAAAAAGTATTCACGGGTTCAGAAGATTGGTGAAGATAATGAGAAATCTACCTGAGGAGCAAAACAAAGGCATCAGCTCTTAAACCAAAAGAGTTAAAAACGCTGTAACCAAAGGCATAGTTTTGGGTTTTTATTTCAGAAGAACTGGCTGGTAAAGGAAGAAGTGGACCAAATTTTGTGTAAAGGATTAGAAAGATGAACGAAGTATTACCCTTTGACTGCTTTTCTGATTCATCCTGAGAAAGGTATATTCTCCTGCACCCTCTCCTTCATTGGTGACAGGTCCCCTCCCCCCACTGGGATTTTACTAATGAGCTTGTTAAAGAGGTGCCAAAGAACATTCTGTACCTTTCCTTATTCTATCTCTACTAAAGCCGTCTACAGAATTTTTTCAGGATTTTTTTTCTCCACGGTCAGAAGAATTTGTTAATGTTTTAAATAAACTCTCTGGATATATACAGCTACTGTGTAAATAGAATTACCCAATGTTGAAAGTGGTTTTAGAATTAGGCTTATTAATGAGGGGGAGATCCATGGTTAGGAGTAAACTGGACGTGAAGTTTGTTTCCACTTTGTCATGGGGAAGGTCAGGGTCGGGTCTGGGAATGTGCACTGCTGCTACCACCCAATGCACTATGTATCACTTTTACTTTATTTTTTTAACTGATAGTTATCTAAATATAAATATACCTACATATATATGTGTGTATATATGTATGTATATATATATATATATGTAAAGGAAAGGTGATCTAAGTAAATATGGAAGTATTTGACACATCTCACAGATTTTGTGTGTGTGTGTGTACATATTTTCCCTTAGAATCTCTAAGACACATACACAGGACACCTGGAGCTGTTTCTGCTAAACAGGTGGTCCTTGGGTACACGCTTATATGCTATCTGCCTGGTAGATATGCATCTGGTACCCCTAGGGCAGGGCAGTCAGCTGCTCCAGCACTTGCTGAAAACACATAGGTGTGTGAACTGATGATAATGCCAGCTGGGGAGCAAAGCTGCCTTTCTCTCCCGTTCTACCCTGTGAGAGGTCTGTTTTAGAGCTTCTCATTGGAATGCAGAAATACAGTTGGTCACATTTCACTGCAAACGATTTCTTCTTTAGTTACATTGTACTTTATGGAGAAACCAAGGAGGGGTCCAGAAATGTAATGTATCCTTGCCTTTTAGCAAGAGACTCAGCTTCTTATAAACTGGTCCTAAGGACATATGCCACAATTGAGTAATTTTACTTTGATCCTGAACTCACACCACGGTGCTGCACTATAACCTACTGTTGGGATCGGTCTGTTAGACAGCTTATAGCTCCTCAGTAAAGGGGGATCATCGTTTCTAAAGTTCTCTGAAGTGGTGCAAAAAGAAGGTGGATTTTTAAAAATCAGATCGGATCAATGCTGTCCCGAGTTAACCTCTTGAGACGTCTAGTGAGTTTAAAAAAAGGTTTGTGGTTACAAAATCAGAGAGGCCAATGAGGCCAATGAGAGGGCAGTTACATTTATATTGAAGGTGAAAATTTTCCTCCACTTAGGAATGAGAAATATCCATAAATTTATTACAAACTGGTTTGCCTTGATCTGATACACAAAATTGACCTTCAGATTGCTTGAAGAAGCACAACACAAATCTTTTCAGAAGAGTCCTTATTTTTGGTGCTAAAATTCTGTGTGTGTATTCAGTATGGCTCTTTCTCTGTGCAACAGAAGAATCACTAAAGGAAAGATAGTTGAATTCAAAGGGAGGAAACAAAACACTCTTCATCCGATTATTTAAAACAAGAATCGAAACCTTAAACATCCTTGTCAGGCTTTGAAATGCAAGGAATTTTCAGGTATTTGTTATTAAATAAACCAATAAGAAATATATCTGTAGCTTCTCCGATGTGCTTAGTCATAATTCTGTATAATAACTTCCTTTTATTAAATATTGACACTTGTGATATTTAAGGGGTTATGCTTGAAAACACGGAGTTTAGATTCCTGCTCCCTGATTATGAGGAAAAGCATCTGACACTGAAGCCTGGGTTTTATGCTCCTTACATTGATATATTCCTTGAGCATCTAATTCCTAACTTGATATACCTGAGAGCCTTATTCAGCAGTGTCTTGGATAACCTAATTTTCTTCAATTAAGTAAGGAAAGGTAGGATTTAAAAATCACGGTGCGTGGATTGCCAGAGACCCTTGAAACAGTAAAGCTTGCATTTTAGTCAAGTAACACAGTTTAAAAAAACACATCACCTTTTGAAGAACTTTAAAAACCTCTCTGACCTCACATGTGGACTCTATTGTTCACGTGTTCTTTACATGTATGTCTCATAGATGTCTAGTAGACCCTGAGGAAGTATGTGGTTTGAAAATAAGGAGGGCAAATACCAAAGTTTCAAGATGAGGAAAGAAAAGAAGCAGTGAAACTCCTTTACATTTAGGAAAGCAAACTTGAGGCTTAACCCAACATGCCACTTTAGGATAGAAAACTTAAACCATTATGATCTTGCTTTTGAAACGGTAAATTTTTGGAGCTCCATTTCCTTGCTAATTACAGTACAAGATCTTATCTGTTATCCTTGCTTTTGTAAACCAGTGCTCCTGTTTGAAGTTTTTCTTGTAATTTAGTCCTTCTGTACATTATCTATCACATAAAATTCCTGTAAATTATGCCGTATTTGTTCTAAATTCTTTCAAGTGGAATTGGATTCCTCTATTTTTTTTTTTTTGAGCTCCTCCACAGCTCTGAAAATAAAGCATTGTTCCCAGCTCCACCCAAAGTAATTTTAAATTTGTTATTTAATTTTACTGGCATCTTGAGAAACAAGCTATGCTGAGGAAAGAAGGCTATTTTGAGTGAGCCCAAGCCCCTGGTCTGGTGGAATGAGGACATTGTGTAAGGTTCTATGCTGTATACCAGTGCCCCCTTGTGGAAATATGTTATATGACTTAGAATGCAAACTTGGCCACTTTTAAAAGTATATTCTCATGTTTTTAAAGAGCATTTGTTTGTTTGGTTGGTTGGTTGGTTGTTTTGTTTTGGGTTTTCTTGCCAATAGTCTGAAAACATCATGCAAAAGGAACTTAAAAGGTATGTTAAACGTTGCCCCAAGGGAAAATGTGCTCAGATCGAAGGGGGTTGCAATTCTAATCTTTCATCCATTTGATCAAAGAAAATTTGCAGACCATTTTACCTCTCATTGTCACAATCATTAATGTCTCCCTTTATAACTACCTATGCTTTGTTTACTTTGAAACACCAGGTTGGCTGTCTTTCTTATTTTTTATTATTATTATTATTATTTTTACATGCTAGAGCTCATACAGTTTCGTTTTTAATTAAAAGGTTCACATCTTGTTTCTTTAATATTTTGAACATTTCTTTTTAATTATGTGTTGTTTTTGTTTTACACTGTAAAACCGATTAAAAATTTAAGCTGGTCTTAACAGACTCACTTCTGTAGGAAGTGTGAGAAGGAATTTCTTAATAAATGAGTTTACAAGTTTTAAATGAGCATATGATAAGTAATATGCCATGTGTTGAAGGCTCTTCTATTTGTATGTATAAAGATTTCTGGTATTTTTTTAAATGTCATTGTGTTGCAATACTTTAACTCCTTTGACTTACTTGCTAAAAATATTTCTTCTATTAAGAAGTGCTCTTGACTTCAGTACCTAAACACTGAAAATCATGTCAAAGGTACCCAAAGATAAGTTTTTATACAGGTATACACCTTATAAGTTCTCATTTATTTTATTACTCCTTAACTATACTGTGTTCTAAATGAATCATGAATGAGAATAGCTCTTTATTATGGAATTATTTAAAAACTGTCCTTTAAAAGAAAAAGAAGAAACTGTAAACATAATCTAGTTGCCAAGTTGGAATTCATTATTTAATTTACCTCCTATGCAATGATTAATGCTGCAAAATGTATGGTTATGTTACAGTATATTCACAAAAGATATATTATTACAAGGTTTGAGAGGTAGCCAATTGCATTCTTTCGGAAATTTACTGTACTGTTTCAATGTGTTAAGTGCCTTGTTGTAAAGTAAAATGTTAAGTCTAGAATTCATTATTTTCCTGACATATTTTTCATTATGATATATACTGTATGCTATTGTAATAGTTTTATTAAATGCTTATATTTTAATCAAACATGTAAATTTCAGAAGCTCTTTTCTCCTACCCACCAGTACCTTAACCATTGGTCTATCATATGGGCTTTGCATTCAAGTCTGTTTTTTTGGTTTTTTTTTTTAAGAGGACATTATCTTTGTTTAGAAATGTTTTCCATGCTTGTGCTTTTATGTTTGTAAAAGACATTTCAGAAGGAATTTAGGAATGGAACTGTAGTTTATATTTCTAAAAATGTCATTTTACATTTACATTTTAAGTGCCTAATTGTTAGTTAACACTAATTTATGTTTCTATTCGAAAGAGGTTATGTGTACTTGATTTCTAATCTTGGCTTTGCTTAAGAAAAAATAGCAAAACAAAACAAAAAAGCAAGAGCCTCTACTTTGTATTTACCCAATAAACCACAGTGACATCAACAGTCTTTTCAAAATTAGTATTCCTGTTTCCTTCGAGTTAAAAAAACTATTTTCTTTAAAGATTTTAAATTTTTGTTTGGTTTTAAGTGCTTGTGAAAACCACAAGAGGATTATTTTCCCCAAGCACTATTAAAATAAGGTGGTAACCTTCAATTAATAGAACTGTAAGTAAACTGGAATGTGTTATTTTTTTTCCCTGCCCTTGGATTTAAGGTGGAAAATAATTCAGAACAATATAAGGTCATTTATGGGAAGTAAAAAATCAGCTACACACTCCAGGATTCTGATTAACATTGTTCATAAAGGGACAGAACCATTAATTCTTCAAAGAAAGTGGAGTCCTTTCTGCTACTCCTAAGAGATGTCATCCTCATGCTTTCACTAAGGGGGCACTGAGGTGATGTCCTCTCCCTGACTTCGACAGTCACTGCTACCATAGATTCTACAAGTTAGTTTTGGAACCCCTGATGAAAGATGAAGAAGCCACAAAGGAAAAAAAACAAAAAGAGAGAGGGAGAGAGAGGAAGGGAGGGAGGGAGGGAGGGAGGGAGGGAAGGAAGGAAGAAAAGAAAGGAAGAAAGACTAAGGCATGATGCCCCGGGACAGATTTAGTAGAAGCAGTTGAGTGAGGCAAGGGGAGTAAGATACTATGGTTCAAAGGTTAAGTTATCAGGCATAATTCAGGTTTTTGCTTTCGATTATCCAGACATGATAGAGTGCAGATCAGAATAGTTTTTCTGCCACCTGCACCCAAGCCTTGGATGGAAAGCTTATTTCATCGATGATCCCACCCTCCTGCGTGACACCTTGGCCTGCTGGTTGCACTGGCCATACAGTCTAAGACTGCCCTCAGCTAGAATGCATTACACAAGGAATGGATGTGATGCTCCGTAGGCCTCGACATCCAACATTTCCTTTCCTTCTAATAGATAAGACTGTCAGAAGCAGGACGCTGGATTCCTCACTAATGTATATTAGAGTAGGAATGGATTATGGACTACTCTGTGTCTGTGTGACTAGCACATATTTAATTCCTGTGTGGCACCTGTAAGGCATAGCAGTTTACAGTTTTTATGCTTGACATACATTCTTTAATCTTCATAAAACCCTGTGAAGTAGGTAAGGAAAGAAGTGGTGACCCCGTTTTGTGAGATGAAAGAGTTCATAAGTGTTAGAGCTGGAACTTGAGTTTTGTTTTCTGTTTTGCTGACTCCCTGTCATGATTACTGTGGCCACCATCACCATTTGTTAGAGGTTTTGTTGTTTGTTTGTTTGTTTGTTTGTTTTGAGGGGGAGTTTATTCCCTTATCACCTTATCAGCCAGTTACTTTGTTAAGAGGGAAACTGGTCCCATGGAACAGATTTTTGTGCGGGGGAAGAGGGAGTCAAATGCTACTACTTTTTCTTATACTTGGAATGTACTACATTTGGGAGGAGAGAAAAGTCCAAGCTTCTTGTGCAAAATGGCCTTGAATGCAAAAGAATCCCCAAGTGTCTTTGAGCTCACATTGTTAGACTATAGCAAACTCATTACAAGTGTCACTTCTAGGATAGCACATTATTATGCACTTTTGTCTTAAACAGGTTAACACAGGGGACAACAAAGTACATAAGACTTTATCTCTAAAAGTGACTGTCTCGGGAATTATTCCCAAAGGAATGCCAAAATGAGAGAGACATGATGACCTGCTTTCAAAAGACAGCAAAAGTCTGAGGAAATGGAACAGGGTTCTTGGGAGTCATTGTAGTCTGGGTTGATTCTAGGCTTCCCAAAGGACCAAAGTGAAGCCATAGGAATATCTGGTCCTGCCATGAACTGGTGAGTTCTCTGTACTAAAAATGTGCCCAAGCCAACATGTGTGCTTGCTTCTGGGCAAGTTTCTATGCACAGTTACTTCAGCATTAAATTGAAACATTCGTTTCTTTTTCTAAGTTCCTTAAATGATGTATTTCTTTGGGTAAAGGGGAAAGAAGCCACTACTTACAAGTTTGCTACCAGGTGTCAGGCACTGCTAATTGGTTTTACTCATATTTGACACAACACTCCTTTTTAAAAAATCGTTAATGCTTTTTATTTATTTTTGAGAGCGAGAGAGTGTGAGCAGGGGAGGGTCAGAGAAAGAGGGAGATACAGAATCCGAAGACAGGCTCCAGGCCCTGAACTGTCAGCACAGACCCCAACGCGAGGCCCGAACCCACCAACCGTGAGATTGTGACCTGAGCCGAAGTCAGACGCCCAACCAACTGAGCCACCCGGGCGCCCAGACACAATACTCCTTTTATAATTGAGGGAACTCAGGGGTAATATTGGATGAAGAGCATGGCGATACCAATCCCAGGAATGCAAAAACCCATCATTTTCCTGTTGGACTAGTGTGGCAGAATGCCCCTGTGTGAGCAAGCAATTCAGGAGAAGAAAAGACTCTTCCAGGAAGGGTTAGCTTTTACCCAGAGCTTCGACAACCAGCTTTTGTGTTGTTGAGAGCAAAGTTGAGGAATGCTCGAGAGTGAGCCGTGTAAGGGTCTTTGACCCACATTTTGACTATTGATGTGGCAAATGGGGCAAAACCCTGTTGCCTCTGTTACTCTCCTTCCATCGCATACCTGCTTAAGGCAGGGGGGCTTTGGGCCTGTATGGAGACACCCCCAGGGCACACCTGCGACCCAAAGGTATACAAGTCTTTGCTGTGAGGAGATGGCACTTTTGGACATGTTTTGTACTACATCCAGTTTCCCCGCCCATGTTTGAAGGGAACGTTTGGCATCTGACATTGGGTGAAAGGCATTTATTTCTCTGGTGTCTTAGTTCGTTTGGGGTCCTGTAACAAAATAGCAAACTAGGTGCCTTAAACCACAGACATTTATTTCCCACAGTTTTGGAGGTTGGGAAGTCCAAGATTAGGGTACTGGAATGGTCAGGTTCTGCGGAGGTCCCTCTTCTGGTTTCCCCACACGTTAGGGGCGGGGGATCGTGAGGAGAGAGAGCAAGGTCTCTGCTACCTCTTCTTAACACACGAATCTCTATCATGGGGCCCTCCCCCTCATGACTTCATCTAAGCTGAATTAGAGCACAAAGTCCTAAGTGGTTTTTGGGTCCCTGGGAGCCCCGTCTGTGGGTCACACTTTCCCACACTGCTTTCAACAGTGTCGTCTGCCTGGTCTGCCTGTTCCTCCGGTCGTCCCCGTCCTCTGCACTGCAGTTCCCAGTCCTCCTTCACAGCGTGCTCCCCCACCCAGAGTATCACCTGCCTCACACAGAAGGCAGCATGATATGGCGGCCCTGTGCCGCCTGGGTTCAAATCTCAGTCCTTCCAGGACTGGCTGTATGTGGAAGAAGTTAAACTACTTGCTTCACCTGTGTGCCTCAGTTTACCTGTAGGATGAAAATAGTCCATGTCTCTCTCGCAGAATTGTTGGAAGGACTAAATGAAAAATAGTTTTGTCATAAGATATACATTTAGTGTTAACAATATTCAATTAATAAGTGTTTTAAGTACCATAACTCTAGCACTGAAATTATTAATGTATATCCAGACCTTGCCTGCCTGAAACTTCAGCTTTATTTTACTTCTCCTTTTAATTTCTCCCTAAAATGCACATACAAGCTAATTGCCAAAATTGCTGCTGTAAGGTGTTTTTTTAAAAATATATACCATCTCTATACCAAATTAAAATTCCTTGAAAGAAGGGAGTCTTAGTATTCATTTAAATACCTAATAAAGTTACTATCACAAACAAGATAGTCAGCAAATATATGTTGAATGAATTTTTAAAAATGACTTCTTGTGTATTCAAATTATTCACAGAATTCATGAAGATTCACTGAAAAGAAAATTGCCCTTCATGCCTCCAAATAATTTGCTATTAAAATAATAGAGGCAGTTATTAAACCACCAAATATTTCTAACCTAAAAATGCTTCAGTACTATCATATGTATTTTGCAATATTCTGGCCAAAAGTATGAATTGAATAATAAAGATTGAAGTGGAAAATCTTTGGACTTGACCCCCATGTTTGATTACTAAGGCAACTGCTTTCCCGCCAAACAACCTTGGGCAAGTTACTTTACCTTTCTGGATCATCTTATCCCTTCTGTAAAAGAAGAGTGAAGAAACCTACCTCTTAATGTCACAGTGAGGATTAGAAATAATGTATACCGTAAAGCACTTGATACTTAACTCATTAATATGTAATGTCTAATCTTAAATTCATGGAATTTTTAAATAATTTTATTGTGAAGAATATGAGAGTTTTAAAAATTGTAAGAACTTAAAAATGAAACATTTTCTACTTAATACAAGATACAAATGCTTGTCATGTCATCCAATCTTTTGGATTTAAATGAGAACATGTCAGGTGTGTAAGCTTGTTTCCAAAGGGCCCACTCTGCCTGCCTGCTTCACATTTTGTACATTAATCAGACCCATGAATTGCTTTTCTCTACTTCTCCAGAAACATCCAGAAAAGTGAGTGATGAATTGCTAGTGTGGAATTACTTTTTTTCTAATAAAAATAATTCAATAAAATAAACTATGGCTCACACTAGCCCTGCTGCCCCTGACCATGAGATTAAGAGTGATCATTTTATCCTCATCATAAGTAGCTACAGCTGGGTCATTGCAGTGGGATCGTATGTTTGCTACAATGTTGTACTGCCAACAAAGTTACTAGATTTCACCATTAACCAATCTAGTGAGCTGACTTTCACATGACCTGCCTATATATATCCCAAACAGCCTTGAGATTAAGTTATATTAAAGGGAGTTAAACTCAAAAGCAGTAAAAGTTGTTAA